ATCTTTTATATTTACTCACCATGTACTACCTTTTATCCCATACCTTCTAGTTATAGTTGATTTCAAATTTCGTGCATCACGGTTATCGCTTCTGTTTAATAAACTTTCTATAAGGGTGCCTCGGAGAGAATGATTTTAGAATTAAAGTTTGGTTGAAGTACCCGTTTTTACTAAGGAGCATTACTGGATTTTTTAGTGATAGGGATGCCGAGTTCCCTCATTATACCATCTGGGACAAACATTATTATAATATACACTTCAAAATGAACATGAAAGGCACAACTGAAGGCCAAGTTCGTAAAGAAGGACCTAGAGAAGAGCAGTACACTGCTACAAAAATTAGTAAAAAAAGGATCTACCTTTCACCTTCTAGGTTCCCCTCTTCATCCTACAGTCATCAACGACGTGAAGAGAGGAGTATAACAAGAGGACGTTATTTCTTCACTGCCTCTCTCAAGAATATCACGTGAATGTTGAAATGCGAATGCACAGGAGATGAAGGTGGCCAGCTATTACACTATCGCTTGGCTTATGAGGCATACGTAAACACCTGTCAAACACGAGATCAACAAAAACATCAGATTCGGCGACGCATCAAATCAGGAGCCCAAAGTCAAACGAATCACTCTTTCCCACAATGTCTGTTTGTTATAAAAAAAGATTATTGCTCATATATGTTGCAATTTGCACGCATCAAATAAACTCTTGACATCGTCTGTCTCAAGTTTTTGAAAGGGTGTCAAGTATGTCTCCTAATACACTTCCAGATAACTCGAGTTGGATCACGTTTGGAACATGTGTCTTTACTCCTATACTATTGGCACAGTCGCCGAAGTATGCCGCCTTAGTGAAATAGCAAGTCAGTTGGCTAGCTCCAAACTTCAGCAATTATTGCACTTGCCAAAACAAACTTATCTTATAGGTAAGCCGTGCCTAGAACTCGACTAGTATTGAACCAACATGCAGGCTTCACAAATGCTCTATCAGAGGGCACCATTTTCTTAGCCTCTGCACACCATGTTGAAGCTGCGCTGCTCGTGGATGCGATTTGTGCGCGTCTGCCCTACCACGGTTATGGCTACAGGAAACTGGGTACTGCTTTCGCTTTTTGAGCTGCCATAGGCTGGTTGCGCATAATCGCATCCTTGGTATAGAATTCAAAAACGAAGAGTCTTTGCAATGCCAGCCAATTCTCTTCCTAGCCTGCAAACAAGACGAACATTCCTTGGCGGATTTGTTGGCGCGTATTTTTGCTGAA